CTACGTCAGGCGTAGGATCTCCTGCTTTGTTTAGCCTAGGCTCCTCTCTTGCTCCTACCGCTCTTGCCGTCACTGCCACACTCTCCTTCACCCTTGACTCTGGCGCTTCTCGGTGCTTCTTCCGGGACAACACTACTCTCACGCCGCTTCCAGCTCCTGCCGCAGTTTCCCTGGCTGACCCTTCCCCCGGTCCTGTCGTAGCCCGTAGCTCCACTACCCTTCCCTGTCCAGCGGTTCCTTCGGGCTCACTTACAGGCCTGCACATCCCCTCGTTCTCTAGGAACCTAGTTGGTGTCAGCTGCCTCCAGGACCTTGGCGTCACCACTACGTTCCCTGGTCACGAGCTGTACGCTGTCTGTACCGAGGCCGCCACAGGTGCTCCCCTCTCCACGTTCCCCCGAGACCCGGTGTCTAGCCTGTTCACACAAGACACCACCCTCCCCCCCGGTTGTAACGTCTCCCCAGGCGCATGTGTCTCCCCAGGTGCCTATGTCTCCTCAAGTAGCTGCATCTTGCTCGTGTCAGTCGCTCACTGACCCGACACTACTAAGGCACCACTGCCTAGGTCACCCTGCCCTTCCCTGTCTTCGTCATATGTCTCAGTACGGTCTTGTTCTAGGCCTCCCTGGGTCGTTCCTGTTGTGTGATGTCATCATATGCTATCACATTCTGTCTGCCTCCCATCCCATGTTTTTTCAACTTGCATGTGTGGTTTGAATGTGCAAGCATTTGTGTGTGGTGTGTTCTGGAGTTTGGGAATGTGTTCTGTGTTATTTTTGTTTGAGCAGGTATTTGTGATAATAGATCTTGAGAAGATCTTTCCGACGCAACAAGAATCGCTTCAATCGGAGCAAGAACGCGAAAGCTATGAAGATTCAAAGTTCATGAGCTTGCGTTACAATTGCGGCGGTTACTAAGTGAAGTTGTGGGGTGACTTTATATGGAGTTGGGACCTTTGGGGTTGGGGAAACTTGTCACTCTACTGTAACAGCTGCAAATAGGTTGGGAACAACCAAGCTAGGTTGGCAAGGGTGGCCAACTTGGATGGATTGGTTGGGAAGGGACAAAGGTCAAAGTTGAGGTTCCTATAGGGAGGGAATCTTTGTGCTTATGGGGTTTCCTTGGTTGGGGACTCTCTTGGGACCTTCCCTCTCATCCCTCTCTTCCTATCCCAACCTTTCTCTTGCTCCTTCTAATTCCTTGTGAGATTCTTGAACTTTGATTGAACTCTTGAGATTGAGTTAAGTTCTCCTCCTACAGCTTACCCCCTAGTGCGTCGAAAGCCATAGCGTCGCGAATACTTCATCAATCAACATGATTCAAATTGGGAACGGTAGCTGAGATTAAGAGCTACAACATATCCAAGCTTCGCGACATTCTAACGGCTATTTTTTCGTCGACGTCGTTTCTTGTGAAGACGACTTTTCTGTCCAGAATTTCGGATTTATATTTTGAGTAATTCTAGCTCCTAAGTTCACCTAGACTCCGTCCTTAATCCTAACAGTTCCCTGCGCTCCCCCCCTCACCCGCGCCGCCGTGTTCCCCCTGCGTCAAGGGCCGGCTCCGCCATTCCCCTCACTCCTCCTCGTTCCCCCCCACCACCGCACCCTTGCAGACCTTGCACATGGATGTCTGGGGCCCTGCCCCGGTTCATGGGCCGCGTCGTGAGCGTTACTTCCTCGTCCTTGTTGACGACTACACTCGTTACACCACCGTGTTTCCCCTGGAGCGGAAGGCTGACGTGCCTGACGCTCTTATCCCGTGGCTGGTCTTTGCGCGAGTGCACCGCGGCCTTCCTGTCCTACGTCTTCACTCCGACCGTGGTGGCGAGTTTGCCTCCGGCGACCTTGGTCGTTTCTGCCATGCGGAGGGCATCACCGAGACGTTCACCCTGCCAGACCCCCTGCAACAGAATGGGGTCGCTGAGCAACGCATCGGTCTGGTCATGGAGGTGGCTGGTACCTCCATGATCCATGCCGGTGCACCCCATTTTCTGTGGCCGTTCGCCGTTCGCTACGCCGCTCACCAGCTTAAAATGTGGCCGCACCCCCAGCAGCCGCAAGTTTCGTCGACCCTTCTCTGGACCAGGTCCCCTGGTGACGTGTCAACGTTCCATGTCTGGGGCTGCCTTGCTCACGTTCGTGCCTCCGGCATGGACAAGCTCATTGCCCGCACCGTCCCCTGTGTCTTCCTCGGTTTCCCCCTCGACTCGTCTGATTGTCACTTTTACCACCCGCCGTCTCACCGTTTCTTTCACTCTCGCGATGTCACCTCTGACGAGTCTGTCTCCTTCTACCACCGCTTTCCCCACCGTGGTCCCCCGGTTACTCCCCCCCTGTTCCTGTTCCCCCCTCCCCCGGTCGCCCCTGCTTCCCCACCTCCCCGCCCTGCCCCGTTTGGTGTGTCTCACGTGACCGCCCTCCCGTCGGTTGTCCCAGTTGAGGAGTCTGCTGACTCTCGTGGCCCTGCGGCGCAGTCTTTGCCGCCTGCCCCCTTTTCAGTGTCGCATCCTCCGCCTTCGCAGCCACAGCCGATGTCGCAGCCGCAGTCGTCGTCGCAGTTGCAGCCGCCGTCGCAGCCGCAGCAGCCATTGTCGCCACCGCAGCAGCAGTTCGTGTCCTCTGGGGGTGCTGGCGCTGAGGAAGGTGCCTGTCCTAGGGCTCCTGTCGTGGCGTGTCCCGGTGGGCCTGGAGGTGCTGCCAGTGCTCAGGGGGTCTGTGGTTCTGGGGGTGTTCCTTTTGGGGGTGTTCCCTCTGCCTGCTCGGCCTTCCCTTCCCTGACCGCGCGTCTGCGCCTCTCTTACCGTCTCCTCCTCTTCCTGTCTACGGCCCTGTGTTCCCTCCTACGGACTCCTCTCCGGCTCGTCTTCCCCCTCGTTCCTCTCTTGTATCCCCTCCTCTGTCTCCTGACCCGACGCCCCCGTCGCACGTCTGGGCTCTCCGTCCCTCTCGTGCGCGTCCGGTCTCCCCTGCTTCACGTTCTCACCCTATGTTGCTTCGTTCCCACCCTGCCGTCGCCTCCTCCGTCCTCTCTTGTTCTCGCGCCTCCCCCTCTGTCTGACTACCTTCGTACCGCTCGTCCTCTTGTTTCTGGGGTCCTTGCCTCTCTCGTTACCAACCCGTCTGTTCCTGTTTCATCTCTTGATGCCCTAATCGCTGCTATCGCTCACTTCGCCTCAACCTGCCGCCTTGACTACGCCACCGCTCTGGTCTCTAACCCTGCCCGTCCTCCGTCCGTCGAGGGTGCTCCAGCCCTCGGCAGTGCTTGCTTTGCTGTCCAAGGCTGCTCCCCATCTCTGCTCCATGCTACTAGTCCCTGAGGGTGACCCAGACGCTTTCGACATCCCGACCCCTTGAACCTACGCTGAGGCCATCTCGGGACCCTGGAATTCTCAGTGGATAGCTGCCATGGAGCAGGAGATGGCATCTTGGAGGTCCACCGGCACCTACGTAGACTGGACGTTGCAGGAGCCACTGGGTCCTAGGAGGGAAGGTACTAGTAAAGCCCTGAGGGCGGCGCAGGTAGACGTGCTCGTGTAGACTGCCCAGAAGAAACGCTGTGGAGAAGTCAAGGGAGTGGAGCTTGTAGTCGCGCTAAGTTGCTACGTGCAGTAGCACCCGAAGAGGAGTCATCTTCGGGGTCGGTGCGAAGGTCTGAAAGAAGTCCACCCCCTCTTGCTGACTGAAGCCCCGTGAGTGGCACGACACGCTGCGCGCCACACTAGCTGACCTGCAATTCTTCCCGTCCTCTGCTGACCCTGCGCTCTTCGTTCGTACTGGCCAGACCCCGTTCTACATCCTTGTTTACGTAGACGACCTGCTCTTCGCTACTACAGACAGGGACGCGCTGGCCTTCGTGAAGGCAGGGACACACCTACACTGACCTAGGAGAACTGTGCCACTACCTTGGCCTGCAGATCTCCAGGAAAAGAGCAGCGCGCACCATCACTCTCTCACAGTCACACTTGGTGCGCCAGGTCCTTCAACGGGTCGACCTTCAGTTCTCCTCCGCACAGCCCACACCTCTACCAGTAGACCACAGGCTCTCAGCTCTTGTTCCTGAGGAGTCAGTAGAGCCCACTGGTCCTTACGCTGAGTTGGTGGGTTGCCTCATGTACCTGATGACCTGCACTCGCCCAGATCTCGCATACCCTCTCAGCATCCTGGCTCGCTTTGTGGCCATAGGCAGACACTGACCACAGCACTGGTCGGCCGCTAAGAGGGTTTTGCGTTATCTAGCGAGTACATTGGGCATGGCGCTGGTGCTTGGAGGACGCAGGCCAGTGGTCCTTACTGAGCACACAGACGCTTCGTGGGCAGACGACGCTGAGACCCCCAGTTCGTTCCAGGGCTACTGTTTCAGCCTTGGTTCATGTGCTGTTTCGTGGAGAGCTACTCGCTCCTCGTCTGTTGCCCAGTCCAGCTGTAAGGCCGAGATCTACGCCGGTGCCATGGCGGCACAGGAGCTCCGCTGGCTGACCATCTTGCTCACTGACTTAGGTGAGCGGCCTAGCTCTGCCCCGGTCCTGTACGCTGACAACAGGGCCATGATCCTCCTGTGTCAGGAGCCTCGACTTGAGGGCAGAGCGAAGCACATCCAGCTGCGGTATTTCGTCCTGCGCGAGCTACAGCAACGCCGCCAGGCCCGCGTAGTACACTTGGCCTCCGGTGCCAACACGGCTGATATCTTTACGAAGGCGTTTGCGCCTGAAGATCATCAGTGGCACTGTGTACAACTTGGTCTTGTTCCCGTAGTCTCTCATTTGCTAGGGCCTTGATTGTGTACAGACATTTATATATATATCTAATGCTCTGACCGGCCTTGTGGCCTCTCCCAGTGGCTGGACTAGTAGTGCCGCCCTGGTCTTGCTCTTGTCTTGGTTTGTACTAGTTTGACTGGTCTTTAGACCCCTGTCTCAGAGGCTGGACTAGTAGTGCCGCCCTGAGCTGCTTTTCTGTTTGTTAGGTACTGCCCTTATACAGTCTAGGGGGTGTGTCAAAACAAATCCTAGTATATTATTATAGACAGTATAGGTTTGTGCATTAGAGGGTACAGCACTAGCCTATATTCTCTTGTACTCTCACATTCTAGTTCATTCCATCATTCTAACAAGGTTGTCCTCTCTACAGTAGGACCCAGAAATATAAAAAACCTACCAAGCCTACACAAATATATATATATAATATATATATATATATATTGACACCAGCACCATACAGACAAGGCTAACACAACATCAATGCCTCGCGGACACATGGGCATGGTACCAGTCATGGCACACTGTGCTGCCTGCAATGCATATTCCACCACACCACACCACCCGTGCGGCCGCTCCGCTCCACGAGTGTCAACGATGCGCGCCCCGCCACCGCCATGCACCGCACCGCGCGCTCATGCCATGCCAAGGCCTTCACGTGGTGGCGGTGGCAGCCACGCCGAGCTTCTCGAGAATCATGTCGTCTGTGGTGAAGTTGGGTGCGGCGCGTTGCACGCCACGCGAGAAGTCCAGCTGGTACGAGTCGCGCAGCCCATCCACCAGCCCGTACTGCGCCTCCCACCCCAGCACGCGCTCTGCCTTCTCTATCGCCGCAAAGAAGTGCTGCCAAGGGAGGAGGGGGGGGGAAGAGAGAGGGTAGTTGGGGGAGAGGAGAGAGTTGTGGAATAGGGGGTGAGAGGGGAGAGCAGGGGCAGAGGAGGAGAGAGGTGTGCGGGCAAGGAGTGGTGAGGCAGGGACCCGGGCCAAAGAGGGAGGGAAGGGGGCGGCACGAGTGAGGAAGGGAGTGGCAACAGGCAGGCGTAAGGGAAGAGCGGGTACGCAGCACGTGTGCGCAGCGGGCAAACAGAAGCTGCGAGTGGGAGCGCACCTGGTTGCGGAGTGGGAAGGCCTTGCTCTTGCCGAAGTCGAAGTCCTTGGGGTTGTAGTGCACGAGCAGCGGGCGCGGTGCACCCATGGCCTCGGCGCACGCAGTGGCGATGCGGTCAAACGTGACGTAGCGCGCGCCGCTCACATTCAGCACCTGCCCACACGCCGCCTCGCACCCCAGCGCCAGGTAGAAGGCGCGCGCTAGGTCCTGGGGCGCGGGGGAAGGGGGGGGAGGAGGAGGTAGGAGGGGCGGGGAGCAGGAGGGAGCGGTGGGTGGTGTGACGGTGATCCGGTTTGGGGCTGCCGCGTTGAATGGTGGCATGCGCAACATGTATACAGCATGAGCGGGTTGAATGGGGGGATGAGCGGGTGAGGGAGACGGGCAGGGAGGAGAGCACATGGCGAGTGGGTGGCATGGCGGGCAGAGGGGCGTGGCATGCCATGGCAGTGCAGCACATGGCGCATGGCGTGCGGCTGTTGTCCACGGGCGGGAAGGCGTGTGTGCAAGGAAAGAGGGGGGAGAAGCGGGGGCATGTGGCATGCGGTGCTGTCATGCATCATGAAGCGCACCAACCCCACCACCAGCGCTGCCATGCTCCACCACGCTAACCCTGCCCGCTCCACGCCCACCCCCATCAACCCTGCCCCCTGTCAGCCACGCCGCCCACCTGCATTGCCTCCGCACTACCCACACTCGCCTCACCTACCTGCTCCCTGTATCACTCTGACTCATCCCTTACCCTCATCCACAACACCCCTTCCCGTCCAACAACCCCCCTCCCCCCAACTCCCCCCCTTCCCCCCCACCTTGACGTGGCCGAGCTGTGTGATCTGCATGCCGGAGCCGGGCACGGGGATGGGGCGGCCCGCAGCCAGGCGGTGGAAGAACCACTCCTCCACGGGGTTGTAGTTGAGCGGCCCGTAGATGTACACCGGCCGGATCGACGTCCACGCCACGCCGCTCGCCGCCAGCACCGCCTCGCTCTCCAGCTTGCCCTTGTGGCGCGACTTGGGGTCCACCGCATCATCCTGGCGCAGCACAGCGGACGGGCGACGTGCACAGGGGGAAGGGGCGTGGACAGGGGGAAGGGGCGTGGACAGGGGGAAGGGGCGTGGACAGGGGGAAGGGGCGTGGACAGGGGGAAGGGGCGTGGACAGGGGGAAGGGGCGTGGACAGGGGGAAGGGGCGTGGACAGGGGGAAGGGCGTGGACAGGGGGAAGGGGCGTGGACAGGGGGAAGGGGCGTGGACAGGGGAAGGGGCGTGGGCAGGGGGAAGGGGCGTGGACAGGGGGAAGGGGCGTGGACAGGGGGAAGGGGCGTGGACAGGGGCGAAATGGATTACTCAGAGTGAGGAAGGGGTGGTAATGGCATGGTTTGTGGGAGCGGATGCTGGGGTTTGGGAAAGCACAGCATGGCGGTAGGGGAGGAGGTGACGGTGCGAGAGGGGCGGGCAAGGCCGTGAGGGATATCCACGGGCGTGGGGAGGGGGCCACACAGGGCGCGGTGCAAGGACGTGAGGGGCAAGCATAGGCACCACAAAACAGCGTGGGGGAGTGAGAGACAAGGGGAAGGGATGGGGGGGAGGGTGGTTGAAGAGGGCAGTGGGAGTGGGTGAGTGTGCGTCGGACAGGGAGGTGGGGCGGGAGGAGAGCGAGGTGTGCGCGGTGAGTGGGCGAGGAGGCGGGGTGATGGGCGGTGGCGCGGTGATGAGTGGTGGGTGTGCGGTGGCTACCTCGCGGTGCGGCAGCTCGTCCGACTTGAGGTACACACCCGCCGACGAGCAGAAGATGTACCTGGTGCGCGCACACAGGGGGGACGGGGGACGGGGGAGGGGAAGATGGGGGGAAAGGGAAGAAATGGGAGCGGTGAGAGGGCGATGAGGTAAGGGGCAACAGGAGAGCGGTGGGGGAAGGCAAGGAGAGAAGGGAAGGACGGGGAGCGAGGGGACATAAAGAGATGAGGTAAGACAAAACAGGTACACGTGGTACAGTGGTAACAGTGGCAGCACAGGCAGGGGGGCAGAGGAGGGGGGGGGGTGGGGCAACAGTGGCGATGGGGGCGGGGGGTGGCAGTGGCCAGTTGGGCGGGCGGGTGCGCGTGGTTACTGTTTGAGGTTGGGCAGCGCGGCGAGGATGGGCTCCACCTCGAGCGCCTCGCGCCCTGCCGGGTTGGGGGCGCGGCACGGCAGGGCATGACGGACACAGGGAGGGGAGGGAAGTCACGGGAAGAGACGAGAAACGTGGGGGAAAGGAAGCGGAAATGAAGGGGACGAGATGGGACGAGGAGAAGGAGAAAGAACCCGCTTCCCGCTCTTCCCACTCAACAACACCTCCCGAAACGTCTGCTCCCTTCCATTACCCATCCCCCCCTCCCTTGTCTTGTCCCGCTCTCTCCCCTCTACTCCCCCCCCTCACCGTTGATGTCGTACACGGCGTCGAAGTCCGCCCCCTGCAGCGCGGCCCTGAGCGCGTCGAGGTCGCGGCGGTCACCCGCGAGGTGGCGCACGCGCGCGCTGTACTCGCTGAAGTCCGCGTCGCTCTCGCCGGGCAGCTGCTGCGCCACCGGCGACTTGCCGCGCGTGAAGAGCGTCACCTGGGGGCAGGGGAGCGCGGGGGCAGCGAGGCGGGGGTTGAGAGGGGCGCAGCGCGCATGGCAAACATGCGGCTCTCACCCGCCATGCCCGCTCCCTGCCGCCCTGACCCCCGCTGGCATCTCGCTCGTGCGGCAGCCCCTTCTCCCCCTCTCCCCCTGACCAGTACTTCCCCGCGCCATCTTCAACCTCGCTCCCCTTGCGCATTCCCCCATTCCCCCTTTTAGCCCCTTTCCTCCCGTCCTAATTTCCCCACCCCCCCCCACACCCCGCGCCCTCCCACCTCGTGGCCCGCCTTGACGAGCAGGCGCGCCAGGTACACGCCGATGAACCGCGTGCCGCCCATCATCAGCACCTTCCGCGCCTCCACTGCGCCCGCCCCGCCGCCACCGCCCGCTGCTGCCCCCCCGGACGCGCGGATAGTCGTGCGGCGAGCCGCCGCATGTGGCGCATGGTGCTGCGGGAGACGAGAGGAGCGCGAGGGGAGGCGCGGGAGCGGGGGGAGCCACGGGGAGGAGGGGGGGGGAGGCACGGCGAGAAGGCGAGGGATGGAGGAGAAAGGGCGGGTGGGAACGCAAGGTGAGGAAGGGGCGGGAAGGTGCAATTGTGACGAGTTGAAAGAGGAGGAACGCGCGCAAGAGGGCGAGACGGAGGGGCGCACGAGGCACCTTGGCGGAGACCGCGAGCAGGGCTTGCACGGGAGAGAGCGCGGCGGGCGCGACGCGCTTGAGCCCCGCGAAGGACCCCAGCGACACGGTGCGAGGGGCGCGGGCCGAGGGGAATCGCGGCGAGTGAGCGACGGTCGAGCAGCTGGCGGTAGGAAAGAGGGAGAGGGGGGAGGGGGGGGGGGGGGGGGGGGAGAGGGGAGAAGGGGGGGGGGGGGATGTGAGGGATGGAGGAGCGCAGCACGAGAGGAGGTGATCGGCGTTAGCCGCACGGGCATTGCCGCATGCATGGCGGCGCGGCCGCGAACGAACACGACCAGCCGCACACGGTGCACACCGCATAGAGCCCTCCCGCGAGGGCACGCGCGAGCAAGGGCGACATGCGATGGAGGGGATGCGGTCAGTGCGGCCGGAACGACACGGGACGCACGGCGACGAACGTAGCAAGGGCGGAACGAGCAGCGCAGGTAGTTGGAGCAGCGAGGTGAGAGGCGGCGGCACCTGGTGGCGGGGAGAGTGGCAGGCATGGCGACAGGTGGCGCCATGGCGGGCGCAGAAGGAGCAACGAGTGATGCGGCGGGTGAGATGGAGTAGTGGGTAACGCGAGTGCCCCACAATGCCCTCGCCCTGCCTTCCCATGTTCGCGGATTCCAGGCTGGGCTGGATGTGCGGTTTTCGGAGGGCAGTTGCCACAAACCTCGTTCAGGGTGAGGGGGTAATATTTTCTAATCGGGAATTTCTGAGTATAGAAGGCCGCGCTGTCCACCAGGGCACCGGCGACCCCAGTGAATCGTGCGGAGATCGAGATGGGATGGGAAAGCCTCCAGCAAATCTGTCCAAAATACACCTGCACACCTGCCCTCCCTTCCAGTATATGGGGGATCGGAATGCCACGTGGCATCTCAAAATTGCACCATTATTGGGCATGCTCCTACGTGACGAGATGTCAGACTATTCGAGATTTTGCCCGTCAGATTGCCCGTGAATACAAGTGCGACACGAAGTAGCGTGACATTGTGTCGAGTAGGAACACGCCCTACGTAAGCTGCCATAATCCGCGTTGGGGTATTCGACGGAAAATTACTGCAGCGGACTGTTGATAGAAACTTTCATACTTTCGTGGACTTCCCTACTTTTTAGGACTCCGGGCATACTTCCATGGACACACGCAGAAATGGGGTAAAAAAACGTAAACAGAACTGTACAAGTGATAACGGGCAGAGAAACAAAAATGTCAAATTAGGAACCGTCGCAAAGTATCGCCAACTACAGCTACCGCAACCAATCAACTCAGCGAGCTGTTGCGCGTAAACCAAATAAATATTGCAGCGACGCTAAAAAAAATTGTTTGCGAGGTTTAACAGGCGCAGTGCGCTAAATTTCGTCGTCAAAGCAGATAGCAAAACCATACATGTAATCCAATCAAATAACATACAAGAAAAAGTAAATACAGATAGCATATCTCTATATTGATTTCAAACTATGTAAGTACTCTAAAACAATGTCCATAACGCAACCACATGCTCAAGCATAACCACTTTAAATCATAACAAGAAAACTTATGCCTATCATAATTGGTTAACCAAGTACCAAACAATATTGTGATGCCCTTAGCTCTATTAGCCATGCAGATGCTAGCGGCTACATTGGACGGCTGCGATGTTCTCCTGGGGCTCGATTGGCTTCGTACGTACAATCCGGGCATCGATTGGATGAATGGCGACATTCGTTTTTAGTGGGGTGGTCAGTGGCGATGATAGCGGCGCCACCTATAACATGACACCCCGAACGGACTTGCTCACCAAATCCAAACTGTCGCCGGTCAATCATGTTGCATCGGCTTTGGGGCAGCAAACAGAGGTGAAAGGCATGGGCATGGCCATGTTTAAGGGTGCTGATGGGAAGATGGTGGGCCTCAAGAACGTCCTTTGGGTGCCCAACCTTGCAGCCAACCTGATCTCCGTGCGACGTCTGCAAAGATCGGCATGGACACATCTTCCAAAAGATCCAAAACTTATACCGCGAGGCTTAGTGAGCGAGAGCTTTGGAACCTTCATGAGGACACTCACGGAGACGGCTCGAGGACTTCTTATTGAAGCTGGTCTACCTAACTACTTTTGGCCGGATGCGGTGCAACATGCTTGTGTGGCTAGGAACAGAGCCTTGACTCATATGACAAAAGACAAATGGGTGCCCTATGTGGAGTGGATTGGAAGGAAGCCGAAGATAAATATGCTTCGGGTGTTCGGGTGCATGTGCATGGCACTTGTGCCTAAGAAACTTCGGTACAACAAGCTTGATGCCAAGGCAACATGGGCCGTGCACTTGGGCATACTTCAATATAGCAAGGGATGGCTTCTTTGGGACCCATTTACCAAGAAGTTCTTGGTGAGCAGAGATTGCAAGTTCATGGAGAACTTACCGTACAAGGAGTGGAAGGCGGAGAACCAAGCGAAGATTGCATTGCGGCTTGGAGAGGTGAAGAGTACAAGCTTGGAACATGTGGAGCTGCCCTTGGAGCTGAGTAGCAGCAACACATTCATAAGGGAATCTCCCCAAATGAATGGGGGAGAAGAGGAAGAGGAGGTGCAGCAAGGTGATGAGCGTGCACCGTCACTTGCGCCTCGTGCTACAAGTGCTCGCGGGAACCGACCAGATTTGCAGCAATGCCATGAGAGCATCCAAGTCCCCGCAGCAGAGCAAGAAGGAAGGGGGAGAAGGAAGACTCAGCCCCCCAATAGGTTGAGCTATGAACGGCTTGGAAGACCAGCCAACTCAACCTTGACCGGTTCAGCTCTCATGCTAGGACATGATGCGGAAGATGAAAGCGCGGAGTGCGCTTTTGCCTTCTTCTCTCCGATGGAGATACCGGAAGAGCCTCCAAATCCCAAGGAGGCTTGGGAGGGCCCTAATGGGAAGGAGTGGAAGAAGGCCTCAGATGAAGAAATGGGGAGCATCATAGAGGACGACAAATTTGACTTTGTGACCCTACCTCCGGGGCGTAAGACGATTGGTCTCCTCAACAGAGTTCTAGAGGAAGAGACCTTCATGGAGCAGCCAGAGGGGTACAATGATGGGAGTGGCAAAGTGTGGAAGCTGAAGAAAGCACTCTATGGCCTCAAGCAAGCCCCTAGGCAATGGTACATCAAGCTGCAGGAAGTCTTGGAGGCGATCGGCTTTACTCCCTCAACGGCCGATCAATCCTTGTTCATGCTTGGCGAGGGGGAGCAGATGAGCTTCATGGTGGTTTATGTGGATGACATCCTCATATTCTCACCCTTCCTCTAAGCTCATGAAGGAGGTGATGCGGAAGCTTCAAGACAAGTTCAAGTGCAAGACCCTTGGTGACGTCAACTTCTACCTTGGGCTTCACATTGAGCGAGATGTGGAGAAGCGGTGGATGCGAATGCATCAAAAGAAGTACTTGGAGGCCTAGGCTGCAAACTTTGGGAAGAGTGAAGGTCATGTGGCTACTTCTCTACCCTCCAGGTTCAAGTGTGTGAAAGGGCCAGCGGAGGAAAGTGTTAGTGAAGAGGAGAGGCGCCGTTTTCACTCCTTGGTGGGCAGCCTCATGTATGCGGCCATTCACACAAGGCCGGATGCAGCCTTTGCTACCGGGCAGCTGGCTAGGGTTGTCCAATGCCCTAATAAAGAGCAGGTAGGAGCTAGAAAGAGAGTGGCCAAGTACCTTGGCCAAACAGCAACTGTTGGACTGCAATATTCCGCGGCGGCACAAAGGTGTCAAAAGGGTGCAGATGGAGTCGAACCTGGGAGGCTCTTTCTCACTGCCATCTCTGATGCATCTTGGGCATCAGAACCAGAGGATATGACAAGTGTGAGAGGTTTCATCTGCTGTGTTGGTGGAGGCCCAACGGCTTGGGAGAGCAATTAACAAGTGGACCAAGCATTGAGCTTGATGGACTCCAAGTACATGGCACTCTTCCGTGCCATAAGAGAGGTTGTGTGGCAGCGGCGTTTGCTAACTGAATTGGGGGAGGAGCAGCAAGGACCTACCCCACTCTATTGTGATAGATAGGGTGCTATTGTATTGGCTGAGAACCCCGTTCTTCATGGTCTTACCAAGCACATGAAGGTGAAGTGGCATTGGGTGAGGAGCATGGTAACCGCGGGTGAAGTGGAGTTGCACTACGTGAAGACGACGGCGCAGCCTCCTGATATGATGACCAAGAGGCTGGTAGAGCAGCAGCATTGGGAGTATTGTAAGCTTGCTGGGATGGCTGTGAACTAAGGGGAGCAGATTGTAAGGCCAACAAACCGAGGGGGAGTTTGTTGGTGCAACCCTATAGCTTGCACTCTGCTTGTCGTCCTTATTCGTGTGTACGCATGCATGGCATGGAATGACTTGTGAGTATATGGCATCGTTATCTGGTGCTTTTGTGCGTGCTTGAATGGTGTATCAACATGCTGTTTATGCCGGTCAAGTCGTTAGGGAGATTTCACTTCTCCCATGTCAAGTCGTCGTTTGCGCGTCGCTTGTGTCTTTTCTATTTTGTCGAGTATGAAGTGTCCATCGTGTCGCAGGTGTGTGCAGCAAGCCCTCATTAACTCAAGAAGAATTTATCTTGCAGAAGCAAGACCAAGAGCTCAATAGTTCAAGCGTAAGGGAAGTGGATAAATATTAAAATAGTAAAAATGGTAATGCTACTTCGTGTAGTATTACATTTCACTTGGTGCAGCCCCTTGTTGGGTTTGTTTCGAGTCCCTTCGTGGTTGGGGACTCTGTGGTGGTGTACCACCAACCTGGACCTCGACTCTTGGGGCTTGTAGAGGCTGAGAACCATCTCAATTTCGATTCTTCTTGCTAAGTTTGTACTTGTAAGACTATAGTGGCTGGTATACCTCCTTCTAGTTAAACCGCTATAGCGTCATCAAATATTTATGGAATTTGATGATTCAACTTGCTGCTGATAGGCGACAGCACCATACTCTAGGTCCAACTTACAGATCACTGTTTGAGTCACAGATCAGAGAGGTATCAATATTGGAATCTGTATGATGGAAATCCGACTGTGCACTCTATCTTTCATTTTAGGCATACTAGAGCGTATTGTGGTTATAACAATTTACGTCCAACGTGTGGAAAAATATGTGGGAACTTTATAGTACATGTCTCCATCTGTCCACGGCTTACCACCCACAGACCGACGGAACAAACCAGTCCATGGAGCAGCTAAGACGGACAACATGTACCGACCCGACCCAATGGGAAGATTCTCTCCCCTTAATCAAGTTCGCGTATAACAATGCCCCTTCGTCCACGACTGCCCAATCACCGTTCGAACTGAATTGCGGTCTAAACCCCACGACTCCCTCTACGCCTTTAGTTGAGAGTCCTGCCCCACGATCCCAACAGTTCGTCAAGGATTTACAGACTGCACAGAAAAACAAACCAAGGCTATTTCCAAACCGAGCCTTACTACCAAACGGTATGCTGACACACATAGACGGGATTTACCCCTGTCTCCTGGGCAATTAGTCCTGCTTGACACGAAGAATTTAGGGTTGAGTCTACCACATAAAATCCGGCCGGGATTCTATGGGCCCTTCCGAAATGTTCGGATGGTGACACCTGTC